CAGGAGGAGTGTGCTTGATGTTAAGAGTTAGTATATCTCTTAGTTTATTTCGATCTCTGTTTCTGAATGCAATCTTTTGACAAGTATCCACGATCAGAACCCAGATTAATAATTTCTCTACAGATTTTACACTTGCCCGCTTTATGTCGTTGTAATGGCATTTGATATCCCCCGTTCCCTACCCGCCCCCATCCTTATCCTCCTCTCCTTTTCCACAGCATGCAAGTTCCCTCTATTTACCATCAGGACTCATGCCGTGAATCTTCCAAAAGCAAATTAGATGCCCTAAAGAACTCCTAAGTTTCAGTTTAATTTACATGTATTTTGAAGCACTTATTTTTGGGTGCACCATTAGCTCAGTTGGTACCGTGCCGGGCTATTTAACGTATGGCTCTAGTTCGAATCCCGAACGGGGTGTTCTGAACTTGGCTTCTTCGGGAGTCTTTTTAAGACCTTTTACTCATTTTTTATTGTCTTTCTATTGTTAATTAAATTCAAAAGGCCCGCTTCTTAAATAACCCAGCAGTTTTGAAAGGGGTGTTAGATCTATATAATGGCCAATGACAAATACACTGATCTTTGACTCAGGTGATAAAAAGAATAATATGACAATATCCCCCCCTCCCCCCTCCCCCCCAAAAAAGACAGTAAAAACAAAAATCAAACAAAAGCGGAGGAAATATTAGAAGGGAGACAACTTTCGGAAATGTACATATGTCATCCTTGTATTTGTTATGTCCCGTTGATTATACCCCGGCCGTTTTGTCGTTTCATGTGATATGAAGCAAGAGACTGATCTGTTGTGTTTTCGTTTAAGTTTGCAAGATTGACGGTCATCATGTTCGCACTACTCTGCGTAGAGTTGTGGGTACAGAAAAGCAGCTCAGAATAAGTTGAAGCATGACTAGACAAAACTATTAAGTGCCTTTCAAAGAACACAACTCTGAGAAATACGATTTTAATGATCACCACAAAGAGAAAATGTTGTGACATGGTAAATAAACAGACACATACACACA